TCGTGGCCAAGGACCAGGTAATGTTGCTCCTTAGTCCACAAAGCCCAGTAGACCCCGAAGCAGTGGCTCATTGGGCAGCCGGCGTCTGAAACCCAACGCTCTAAACTCTAAACCCGTAAACCAGCAAACGCAGAAAAACAAATGGTAACTAGAAATCATGACATATTCCGACACCCTAAATCCTAAGACCCCAAACTCTGTCTGTCCATCCATCCGTCTCTGTGTGTCTGTCTCGATCTGTCCGTCTGTCTGTCGGGCGGTCGGTCTGTCTATCTATCCATCTGTCGCAACCGCGCGGAAACAAAAACAGTTTGGGCGTCTGAGCAGTGCTACAAACTACCAACAATTGAACTTTTGAACTAGGCTAGTGGCCGGCCAGCATTCAACCCGAAACACGAAAGTCTAAACTAATTCTAAACACCAAGAATTTCTCGGCGGGAGGTCCTGAAGCATAAATTCGCACTCTCCGTAAGGAGGCTTACAACCTACACTTGCAGCTTGCACTCGAAACCCTAGCCTTAAGCACGCTGCGTCTGATACCGTGTCGTCGATGCAATTACAGACAGCAAAGGGTAGGGCGGGTAGGGTCATGAGATTTAAACGGTGAAGCAAAAGACCATAAGCCCATGGGGCCCCCGACCCTGTTGCACCCACGTTCTAAAAGGATGGCTCGCAACCCTAGAGAAATATGGGTTACCACGATCGGCGAAAGTTTTCATATTTAAGTTCAGTGACTATCATGTTCACGTAGGCATGGGTTCATCTTACAGTAGAGTCAGTCGAAAACCCGGCTCAAGAGTCATAGGCCTGGGCCAAGCGGCATTGACTTAACGAAGATGACATACTTGAGGATCGGGGGACTTACTAAGTAGGGTTATAAGTAAGGTAACTATAATATATCTACTTATAACCCTCATTAAGGTACTTATAACCCTACTTACCAAGTCCCATGATCCTCTAAGTAGCCAAGCGGCAGGGATTGAGGAAGGGAGAGGTCCTGGTCCATGGCCTGGAAAGCTCCGGCGATACCCGCCAGGAGCCTCAGAGGAGCATGGGACTGATGGAGAGCTGAGGCCGCAACTACGAAGTCGTGGGGGCTGAGGATCCTAAATTAAAAAAGGTTAGCCTCTTCAACTGTTTTGTGGTATTTTTTTGGCTCCCGCATGGCGAGTCTCGCGACTGCATGGCAGGTAACACGTGAGCTAAGCCGAGAACAGGCCACTCGATTACACGAGAACAGTCAGCCTATTCGAAAAACCTCCCAATCGCCAATTGTGCGCGCTATGGTATGATTATATTAACCTCGAAAGGTTAAAGGTTGGGCTGAGGATCCTAAATTTCAATAAGGTTAGCCTCCTCAACTATGGTAAGATTACATGAACCTCAAAAGCTGAAAGGTTACCTACTCAGCTACGAAGAAGTAGTGGTCGTGGGTATCAGTCGTCGTCGTGATCGAAGTCGTAGCAGGAGTTGTAGTAATACTCATACTCGTTGTGTAGTATGCAGGAACAGTTCCAAGAGCAGTGGTAATCGCAGCAGTGGTCATAGAAGTAGAGGAAGTCTTCCGGATCACAAACTACAGCAGCTTCCCAAGCGTTGCACTGTGTTCTTTACCAGGGGACCCAACAAACAGTTTAGGATTCAGCCGTTATGGCTGGGGTTCTAGGTAGAGCGGGTGGCATGTAGTGAACCCCAGAAAGTTGGAACATAAATTTAGGATGAATAGTGCTGGGATTCCCTCTACTTTACCTTAAGTGCGTGAGGGCAATGATGTTCCAACTTTCTGGCTTCTACCGTAAGTTGTGGGAGGGGGGGGGGAATCACAGGAGTGGCAAGTAACATGGCTGGATTCTAACGTGGGATGAGTCCCTAGAAGCCAAAGCCAAAGGCTTCCGAATAACGGCCGTGGGTAGCAAAAGGGGATACGCCAAGGGACAGTTTCATGACCGGCGATTGGCGAAGCATGGCGTCACTGTGCGGCGTATTCACCGATAGCTTCGCCAGGCGGTGCAGAGATGTCGAAAGATTCACCAAGTTCCTTGGCTTCGGAGTTAAGGCTAGCTGCTAGGGTTTAGGGTTTCGGGAATCCTGGTAACCGTCCTACTAGTCTGAGGCGTTGGCTTTGGCATTTCAGGAAGCCATTAACGAACAACGAAAACCACTAATTTTGCGCATGTCGACAGCAGTTGTGCAGTACCCAAAAAATTCGCCCTCTGGCTACTTCCTGAAACTTCCATGCGTCTTGTTATAAGCCAATAACGGGCTGCAGTCCCTAAATTGAGTTTTTGTGTTAGGTTCGATGCCGGCGCATCCTGCGCCGTTTCAGCTGTGCTCGGAATGAAACCCTGCAGCCCCAAGACTTTTCTAGCAAGGTCCAAGGTCATGCATGGTCCTCAGACTCCTCACAAACCAGGCCTGATAAACACTGTCTACGGACTACGAAAGCAGCAAGACCTGCGAAAGCCAGGGTGTGCAAACCAAGACTAAGCCCTTTTGCAAGTGGCTTGCAACGTCACGCCAGGACAGTTGACTCGCTCCGGGCTGCCCAACCAAGCCCTATACCCTAAGCCATCTGCAGCACAAGGCTCATGTCCCGGATATGGCTCTCGACCACTGCGAGGATACGCTGAATACCATTCTCCTCTCTAGAGGCCTGTATGATCTGGCTATTGATCCTCAGCTGCCGTTGCATAGGGTTTAGGGTTTAGGGACCTGGACACTAAGCAACCTTCCTTTCAAGGACATACATATATATGTATATATAAACTATATATAAATATAATATGTTATAAGGACACGAAAATCATAATAAGGCACCTGAAAAGGGTGGGTGCTTTGCGGTTCAAGTAAGGTCTACTTAGGCTGGACTGGGTGGGGTCTGGCAGCAAATTCGCAGCGACTGTACCACTACTGGTATCCTGCACAAGCCGTAAGTCACAAGCTAGCAACAGACAACCCTCAAGATTAGAAATGCTGGCACCCAGCATAGACCTATAGCATCATCTAAACATCCCGAGGAAACACTAGATAACTTAAAAAACAAAACTTGCTCATTCCTTCCCATCCTCCATGGGCAGGACGTGCGCTTTGCTACTGGGCTCGCATTGGGATCGCCTTCGCTGTGGAGTTCATCGGCCGAAAGAAATTCTACAACGGTCTTTGTCACTTTGAGAGTTTGCGGAGACCCAGAATCGTAAAAACGCTCCTGTTTCGGTTGCTTGTGGAATTAAACCAACAAGTTCTAGTCAACTTTGCGACAAAGGGGCTTCCACAAAACCCAAAAGTCACAAAGTCTAAAACCCCCTATGACACCCATTACATCTCAATCTCCATAAACTCAATAAAAAACTACAGTTTTAAAACTCCATAAATAGAACTTCTGAATAAAACTCGATATATCAACCTTTAAACTCAACAGCAGAGTGGCTCCCTTGGCCCCGCCCTCGGCCTTTCATCGCCCCCCCGCGCCGGGCCGGTTTCGGCCCCGAGGGTAGTCTCGCGTGAGCCAAAATGGCCCACTGAAGTCCGGAAATCAAGTGTATTACCCTTGGGATCAAAATAGCCCAAAAGCCGTATATAGTATGGTCTTTGGGCCCGAAAGCCTTAATATATGTGTATTGCTTGGAAGAACAGGGGACTTAGTAGTTCCTTAATGGGCTCCTTAAAGGGATCTATAGGGTTCCTTAAAGGGATCTAAGGGTTTAGGGTTTAGGGTCTACGTATAGGATCAGGGGACATAGTAAGTAGGGTTATAAGTAAGGTAACTATAGCTATATCTACTTATAACCCTAATTAAGGTACTTCTAACCCTACTTACTAAGTCCCATGATCCTTTAAGTAAACCCTAAACCCTATAGATCCCCTTAAGCAACCTTATAGATCCCTTTAAAGGAACCCTACTTACTAAGTCCCAGGAGCCTCTAAGTAGGGTCCTTTAGCGACTTTAGGGTTTGCGGTGGAGGGTCTTAGGCTTTGCAAGGGTTTCACTAGTTGTAAAGGCTTATACTCACTGGCCCAAAACCCAACGAAACAAAAGTTGAAACTTTGAGAATCGATTACCTTATAAGAAACCCAAAAGTTGAAAAGTTTAGTTTCCAGCCGATAAGTATATGGGAGTTTCCGAAAATAGGGGGCGCTACTATTGTACCATAACTAGTAGGATCCCTATTACAAGGACCCCAAAATAAGGTACTCCTAATTTTTGGAAACTCCCATATCAGGGTTTCGACGGTCCGAAGCATCCTAGGTACTTATATGATATACTTATATGGCCCTATATGGAGGAATAAGAGTAAATCTGTTCTTGTACTATAGGAACCCTAACTTGTGCTGTGCAAATGCTTGAGGCACTTTGGGAAAGCGAAGAGCAACAGCTGCCACACCTCCTTGTATCAGATTCTAGGACTTTGGGGTTTGGGGTAACAAGGAACCCTAAACCCTCCCTCTCTCTCTCTGTCTCTCTCTTTCTCTCCCAGGCATTCGAAACGTCAAGCCCGGCTGTAGGACACCTAAACCCTCAAGCCCTAACCCTGAGGTTGCCTATAGCTTCGTGATGTTGGGTGTCGTTTCGCGATTTACAAGGCCAAACGCTTGGCCCCCACGGCTCCGCTGAGGCTGACGTTGCAAAGTAGAAACTGCAATAGTTGGTGGGGGGGAGGGGCTATGTTGAATTCGGTAGAGAAAGAATTCTACCACAGGTACCACCGACTCTAATCGAGGAATATGTCGAACAGGCTCTCATGGCAACACGAGTAGCATGGGCCGAACAGCTGCATGGCTTCTATCGAAAACTCCTATGTCTGCTGATGCTACAAGAGCAAACGCACACAAGAACGCCTGCTGGGTCTCAAAATCTCCTACTGTAAGCCCGTGCCCAGGAACAAACTTCAAACTCCTAAACCCTAAACCCTAAACCCTAAACCCCTAAACCCCTAAACCCTAAACCCTAAACCCTAAACCCTACTTCAAACCCCTGAATCGGCTTGCGCCAGCCGGTGAGCCTGAAGGTCTTGGCGCCCGCACCGTCCATCTGTGCCTCGGATGCTGCTGGACGGAAGCCCTATAGGGGCCCATGTACCTGTAACACGTGATATGACACATCGTCTTATATATCATACAGCTTGGGCTGAAAGGGATTCTCTTACAAGTACTTTATTTGGGTCAGGGTATACGAAAAACAGCCTTCTTGTGCTCGAGTCACGAGCTCCCATCCATGGCCGCACTGATCTCCAAAGCAGGTGGTCGAGCGCCGCCTGGAAATGAGGGCTTCGGGGCTGTAAGATTTTCGGTTTCTATATGGTTAGGAGTTAGTGTAATTCGGTTTGAATGTTTAGGTTTAGGGTTTAGATTAAGAGCTACAGTAGTGCGGTTTTAGGAGTTCGTGCGGTTTTTTCCCTCTCGCATGGCTGGAAGCAATGTCCACAGGCACACCGTGCGGTTTTAAAGTTTAGGGTCTAGTTTAGGTCTTGGACTGGCTCTTGTAGATTTGCTGCATGCCAGGATCTGATTTCGGCTTGGCCGCAAGCAGGGGGGAGGTGGGTTTTTTTGGGCTTAGACCTTCAGTTCTCACAGTTCGACGGTTCAGGGTGTAGGTTTAGAGCCGAGAGGGTAATCTATCGTGCTACCTAAACCTAAAGCTGAAGTTAGAAGCGTTTTACGGCATTTTGAACCGACTGAGCGATTGGAAGCCGGAGCCCTAAGAAGTCTACGCCCGAAGCCCACAAATTCTTAAGCCCACCATGACCATGCTAGAATCAAAGTGAGGACAACCCACACACTAGGCAGACACCAGGTCGTGCAGATTCCGATGCCTTGCTGAATAGAACACAATGACCGATTAGTCACCCGTCCCTTAAGTCAGGAATGTGGCAATCTCTGGGTATCCTCCGTGCCCCACCCAGAGAGCCCAATACTCCTTAATTAAGGAATATGGCTTGAATTATATTGGGCTTCATACTCTGGTTTAAGCTTTATTCCTTAATTAAGGGGTATTGGGCTCTCTGGGCATACCTCAGCTCCCTCCCCCCCGACCTCTGCAAGATGAACGGCTTTTTCGATCCTGTACCTTGCATGCATGTTTTGTTAGGCGGGTGTGTCAGTTTTGTTATGGGGTCTTCAGGGAGGGCTGCTAGGAAGGATTCAGTTGGGTTATGGGGTCTTGCCGGGTTTCAGGGAGGGTTGGTATGGATTCAGTGAGGATTGTTCAAGTGGTGTCATCACCCAGAGACAACAATATCCCGCAACGATATTATTTGGGATCCTGCTATAAATTAAAGTAGAATCCTCAATCAAGGGATATTGGAGACTCTGGGCAGATACCTCAATTCATTTTCACACAGTCATGCGGAGTTTGGAAAGTGGGCGAATAGCTGGCCTTGGGATAAACACTAGTGATACAAAGATATCTACTATACGGGCCTCAAAAATTAGAATAGGGTTCCCTAAAAGGGGTTCCTTGAAAGGGGTTGCGATTACGGGGCCTTAATAATTAGAATAGGATTTTGCAGCCAGATATACCTAATCATAATAAGGAAGCCCCAACATAGTATAGGTAATTCTCAGTGGCCCAAAACGAAAGGAAACAAAAGTTGAAACTTTGAGAATCGATTACCTTTTAAGAACCCCAGTTGAAAAGTTGAGTTTACAGCCAGTAAGAATTAGAAAGGCCCCTGTATCTATACAACCGACACGAGCACTTGTTACCATTCAGAGCTTATGATTTGGTGGCTGGGGCGCTTGCATGTTTAAGTTGATCCGGGAACCCAGAGACTCCAATATCCCTTAATTATGGAATATTCCTTAAAATATAGTAGGATCCCTAATATGATTTACGGAATATTCCTTAATTAAGGGATGTTGGAGTCTCTGGGAATACGTGGCACTCTGAAACCAGACTTAGGCTTCTGCAAATGCGCAAACCCCTAATATAGGGGCTTGAATGATTAATAAGAGTGGGGTTTGGGGGCCCAGTAAAACAACATAATCAGGAGCCGCCCAAGTAGGATTGGTAAGTATTATTTAGGCCCCAATGCACCTCCCAAAACTCAAGCTGCGAGGCATTGCACACTTCCGTGCACAAATGCTCCGCTAGCCGTAGCGCGAACGAGGCGCACTGAAAGCACCAAAGCGGTACTGATAATCGAGCTGGAACATCTCCCCCAAACCCTGCATACCTACCATTGCAGGCTCGGTTGCCAAAGAGAGGCGTTCCGAAGAACTTCTCGGTGAGGGCCTGTAGCCAGGGGATGAGCGACTGAGCCAAGTTGGCATGGAATGAAAGACGGCTGAGTTGTTGCAATTTCAAACCGTATCTTCCCAAATCCTTATTTCAAAACGAAAGTCGAATTCCTGACCTTTGTTGTTGAAGTATGGCTCTGTAGCTATGCCTGCGGAAGTGTTGAAGGCCGTGCTGCACATCAGTCAGCAGCACTTCTAACGTCTCTGACTGCAGAAGCATTATGTAGTTCCAATTTAACCTAACCCAAGCAAAAAAAACCTGCGCAAGCACGCAAGCAGGCACACTCAATCATGCTTGCAGGTTACCAGGTGCCTCCTGGACAGTCAGATTTCGGCCAAAGTACTTGGTGTGGAAACGAACCTCGGTTCCTCGGTTTGTGGCACCCGAGCTGCTGACACGTTCATGCTGCGGACGGCATCGCAAGCCCTAAACCCTAAACCCCTAAACCGAACCCCCAAGCCTAAACCCCTAAACCCTAAACCCTGTTGCATCCAGGCCCTAAACCCTAAACCCCTAAACCCTAAACCCTAAACTCCTGCACGCAAAAGAGAAAACAGAGACCTCGAGCTGATAAGACTGTATGCAATGGTCAGGCCGTGACCCTGAAACCCTATGCCCTTTCGCCTATGCCCTAAACCCATAAACCCCGAGAAATCCCCGTGTGACAGCGTGGGTCTGCATCAAAAACACCCCTCCTGCAGATGCGAAGATAGGCAGAAGGAGTCCTATTTTCAAGGACACCAATCAGGATTTATGTCCAAACCCCAGATGAACGGCAGAGCAGAAAAGCAAAAGCAAAATGTCGTAATAGAAAAAAGCTTCCCAACTGTGGCATCTACCTGATCTCTACTACACTAGTCACCAGCTGCTGTGGCTAATTTTGGACAGTCAGGTAAACTGGTTAGGTGGTGGCTCCCTCCAGAAGCATCGTCGGGCCGAGCGCAGGAACCAAGATCATCTCCTGCACACTTGCTGGCTGAGGGCATGAGGCTCCTATAGAGATTCAATTTGTGGTATTCCTTTGCTTTTTTTCTGGTGACATAGTGATGAGGGTTTAATGGCTCAGGGTGGCTTATCGGTTGAAGGGCCTCGATTTTCAAGCAAGAGGATTCAAGCCCAAACCGAAAAAAGAGAAAGCTGTATCTCGGGAGCGCACCAAAACCCTCACACGTCCTCGCCGCCCTGGTCTTTGGCCCAAAGGCCGTTGCAAAGCAATTCCTTCGCAGGATGCTTTGTCGTGTCCCTTGCTTGGGCTTCAGCAAGTGAGCCATGAAAACACTTCAGATCTAGCGTTTGACTGAGACACTTGGGCAAGTAAAGCAGAGGTCATGACTTCTGGACTGTTCTAGAATCGCTGTGCAGGCATAGAAAACAAGCAAAACCAGGTTAGCACACGTATAAGCCTACTTATAAAGCATGTTCTCTGAGTTGATTCAAACAAGCAGCCGTGGCCATGGTTCTGAAAGCTCACGCTAAACACTCTAAATTCTGATCGCGAACAGGCTTGAGGATTGAATTGCCTACAGGGAACTCCAGAAAGTTGGAATATGCTTTCAGAGTAGGATACCTTATAATCTACCATAAAGGGTTTAGGATAATCATATTCCAACTTTCTGGCTTCTGCCTACCTGTATCGCTACGCTAGACACCTTCATCTGCCCGGAAATTCGCAGGAGTCAGAGGCTCAAAACGTGTGAAGCGTCCCATGGCGAACGCTCGAAGCAGCTCGAAGTAAGTACCATTCGTGTGTGTGTGTATATATATATGTATATATATATATATGTATGTATATGTATATATATATATATGTATTGTATGTATAGTTATATATAGTTATATATAGTTGTATATAGTTATAAATATATACATATATATATATGTGTGTTTATATCTATTGTTGTATTAACTTATACATACATATATCTATAATATATATATATATATATATATATATACAGTCACACACAAACAACCTTTACCCCCGCAGATAGCGCTTTCACAGCTAGAGCAACTTTCTGCCAGCCTGAACCCTTGCCTTAAACCCCTAAGACCCTTTTGCATCCGGTCTGCAGCGCCTCTGCCGGGTCCGCCCTCAAGCTTAGGGGACCCTAAACCCTAAAACCCTACAGACCCTAGAGCCCTGAAGCCTAAGCCGAGAAGTGAAACTTTCTGCCACTGTAAGGGGAAAAGGAAGGACCCTTAATGGGGACCCCTACCCTATAATGGGCTATACGATGGGTATATGATAGCTATATTAAGGGTATATACCTAGGGGTCCTTATTAAGGGAATCCTAAACCCTAAACCCTTTATAGAACCCTTTTTGATCCCTTATATACCTAGGGGTCCTTATTAAGGGTCCCTCCTTTTACCCATTCTGCCACAGAAGGCGCCTTCCGACGATAAGCCGCCATCTGCTCGTAGAATTTTGCCAGGCCACACTGGTGCTGGTGGATCAAACCTAGGGTTTAGGGTTTTAGGGTTTAGGGTTTAGGGTTTTAGGGTTTAGGGTTTAGGGTTTAGGGTTTAGGGTCTAAGGTCTAGGGTCTAGGTGGGGCTTTTGAACCCTTTGAAAAATATTAGTAAATAAGATCCTCTTAACCCCCAAAAAAGGAAAATATAGAATGTCCCAAAGCCCTACCTGGTAATGTAGGGGCCTTGAATAGGGTTCCTTTAAAGGTTTGTGGTTTAGGGTTTAGGGTAATGTGGGGGCCTTGAATCATTCGGATAGGGTTCCCTTAAGGGTTTCCTTAAAGGGGTCTATAAGGGATCTATCTTTCCTTAAAGGGGCCTTGAATAGGCTGGTGGATCAAACCTGGTACCCAGAGAGCCCAATACCCCTCAATTAAGGAATACCTAGGGTTTAGGGCTTCGGGGACTCCAATACCCCTTGATATTAAGGAATATAGCTTAAATCATAATATGAAGCCCTATATAATTTAAGAGATATTCCTTAATTAAGCGGTATTGGGCTCTCCGGGTAATGTAGGGGCCTTAATAATTCGAATAGGGCTCCTGTAAAGGTTTCCTTAAAGGGGTCTATAAGGATCTCAAGTAGGGTTCTATGATATAGAGGCCTTAATGGCCTTATAACGATTAGAATAAGTTTTTGGGGGAGGTCATACTATAAGTATAATAAGGACCATAGACGATGGGGCTAATGCAGGATTTGTATCAAACGTCGTATTGTTGCTACCTGGCTAGTTAGCTAGCTAGGCAGATAGCTCATTAGCTAGAAAGATAGGACAGATAGGAATAGTATCAGTGGCAGTACTGATATTCGTACCAGCACTAGTACTGGTCGCAGCAGCAGCAGCAGCAGCAGCAGGCCAGGAGTAGGAGTAGGAGTGGGAGCAGGAGTAGGAGTAGGCGCAGGGGTAGGGATAGGAGTAATGATAATAATCATCGTAGTAGTAGTAGTAGTAGTAGTAGTAGTAGTAGGAGTAGCAGCAGAAGCAGCAGCAGCAGTGGCGGTAGCCATGGCAGTGGAAGTGGCAGTAGGTAGTAGCATAGTAGCATTAGCAGAAGTAGCGTAGAAGTAGCAATGGAACCTTGTGGCAGCAGCAGTAGCAGGAGCAGGGGCAGAAGCAGGAACAGGAGCAGGAGCAGCAGCAAGAGTTGTTGTTGTTGTTGTTGTTGCTGCTGTTGCTGTTATTGTCGTGGCAGCAGCAGCAGCAGCAAGTAGCAAGTAGCAAAAAGTGAGCACCGAGTAGCAAGTAGCAGCTAGAAAATAGTGAGTAGTAGTATCAGCACCAGTTGTAACTGTACACCCATCCGAGCAAAAGCTGTAGCGGTCTCCCGCTTCTGCTCTGACGACGACAAGTCAGTACTTACTTCTACGATTACTACCATCACCACCAACAGGCACCACCGCCAGCACGAGCATTATGACAATCCTTCGGTGCTTTCAACGAACACCTTTGACAGTCCCAAGGCTGTTGGCCGCTACACTCTCCTGCTTCAGCGCAGGAACCGTCAACCGCGGCCTGGTCCACCTCCTGCACGTGCTATACACAGGCAAGTTCTTCCGACTCTTAAGCGGAGCAGTCTCGAACTTGTTGGACACAAGACCTTTAAACCAAAACACAAAGTCCCCGATGTGGCGTCCTTACCCTTGAGCTTCGGCTTTTCACCCTTTTCATTGACGTAGAGACCTCGCCGGATGTGGTGCTTTAGGGTATGCATGGCAGGGTTTGGGGTTCGGTGGGCTTCTAGGGGTTCAGAATTGTCTGACAAATCGAGAAACTCTGGTAGACTTTGCAACTTTTATTCCAGAGTCGGTCAGGTAGAGAAGCCGTCGTGAGGTGAGAGACCCAACCCGAAAACGGTAGTCCGCACCCGCATGTTTGTTTCTTGTTGAGGAACTTAGTCTAAGCAACCTGTACTTCATGTCCCGATCAAAGGTAGCTCGCATTGAGTCTCTCACACGTCGGGTCCATCGACCCATTTAGAAGTTTTGTACAAGATAAGTACACGGACCCTCATTCAACCGTTTCGTGGGAAACGTATACAACCCTAGCACTATAGAAACCCCGTTCAAGGAACTGAACCGGAGGGTTAACCAGCCATGAAGCCAGTCTCAGCACTACTGGCGACCATCTAAAATCTAGAAAACTGTGCTATACCTCCCTTAGAACCATAATCAAAACACATGTTAATAGTCTCTTGCGGTTTTATATGCTTCAAAATGAAATCCGAAGGAGACTATAGTTTGGATGCCTTAGAAAGCGTAAGCCTGAACCCGCAAACTTCTGCCAGGCCGAGCCGCGCCCGGCCCTTGCGAGACCGCCGCTTAGGTCGTCGGCAAGACCCCAGTCGATGAGAGTCAGCGTCTTGGTACTCTCCTTTCGCACCGATGGACTCCAATATCCCTGAATAAAGGAATATTCCTTAAATCATACTGGGGATCCTACCATAATTTAAGGAATATTCCTTAATCAAGGAATATTACTATTGGAGTCTCTAAGCAGGCCGGGTTAAGGAATTTTAGGTTGAGGGTTCCGGTGGTTTACACTTTCACAATCCGGACATGCCAGGCGAGGTTCTCGGTGCGAGGTCCGCGTGGGTTTAGGGTTTGGTTTAGGGTTTAGGGTTCCCCGCCAGATTATTCTCTCAAGTGGCGGCACCGGAAAGTCTGGGCGTACTGAGCTTGGAGTGAGGACAGCAATCGTTCTCTGAGTGCTAAACCGCAAATCTCACCATCTCTAAATTCTCTCCAAATCCTCTCCGCCCCATAAATCCCTAAAGCTTGTGGAGCCCCAACATAGAAGCCTGATAAAAACACATCAATATGATTCCTCAGGGTTCATGATAGAACGAATGACATTCTCCCAAAATCATCCAAAATCCTTTTACATATCATTATGTTTGCCAATGTCTATCTATCTGTCTATACACATGTACCTATAATGAGTCTGAAAACTTTCCCTCCGGCCTCCCAGTACCAGTTGCCGGGATGAGGATCGCCTTGGAAGAAACCTTTCTCCACCATAAGGTAGCCTCGACACAGCTTCTCCCGGCTTTCAGGGTGTAGAAAAGTGTTTAGGGTGTAGGGCTGGGGTTGGGATATCGGGGTAATGTTGAAGGTTTCGGTTTAAGACCCAGATTATGACCTAGATCCGTGTATGATTTCCAACATTGCTAAGATCTTCCTGCAATATCCTTACCAAGAGGTAGAGTTTAAGATTTCGGATTCGTGGCTTAGTAGGGGTTAGGGTTTTAGGATATAGGGTTTAGGGATTGTTGCTGTTTTAACGTCTTGGGAAGGGAGGTCGCATTTGTTGAGTTCCTTGGTCCAACATCGAAATTTAGCGCGGGCTGTAGCTTCGTACCCAGAGACTCCAAAACCCCTTAATTAGGGAATATACCTTAAATCATATAAGAGATCCTATTATAATTTAAGGTATATTCCCTAATTAAGGGGTTTTGGAGGCTCTGGGTAAAGCCACAATCCGGGCTTTCAAGTTCCACGACGTGACAAAAGGCCCAAGTGGTGCAGGACTGTTTAGTATAGGGGCCCTGATATTTAGAATAAGGTTTTTGAGCCCCACTATACTATAATTATGATCAGGGACCCCCAAAATAGTATAATTATTAAGGCGCCTATATTATGCCGGCCAACCTTTCGTATTCCTTGCTTCTTGAGGTTTTTGCCCCCGCGGGACTGGTACTGATAGGTTTTTGGGAAGGGGTGGCTTTTGGGATGCTTCCGGGTTCTAGCTGTACACTGAGTAAATTAGCACACGCCGTAACAATGTGGGACCCGAAAAAAGCGGGATGTGGAACGTGAAAGCAAGCCCTAAACTCTGCACGTGAACGGCTGACTCCGCAGTCCGCCGCCAAAGCAACATCTCCAACCAAGCGCACGAATACACTGTAAACCCGAGGTTTAGGACCTTTGATGTTTCGGGTGCTGCACTCGTTAAAAACGCAAGAAGAAACTATTAAACTCTTCGAATTCTACCGAACTGTCCCCAAATTCAAACGAAGTGCGACCCACAAAACGCACAATAAGCTTGTAGGCTGCTGGACAACGAACATAAACTCGGCCAAAGCGTCCATAGAGGCCCATGATGGAGGGATAGACGAGAGTGCGCCACTGCTTTAGCTTGTCGACCTCCCAGGAATACTTCTTAGGGCTAGCCCAAAAGAAGGCTAACCTTTTCAATCATGGTACGACTACATATATACATCCCAAAAGGCTGAAGGCTACCTACTCAGCTAGTTACTAAGACTTTGCTTGCCATGATCGGCTTCTGAGATTCAGAAGGTGATAGACATGGGCCTTTCTATGTTCAGTGCGCTTTGTGAAGACAAGCTAGATCTCGATGGCATATCTGTCAAAGAGCGTTGGTAGTCTGGGCAAAGGAAGCTTCATCCTATTTGTCGAGTATCCTGGGGATTTGGGCGTATGTTGGGATTACATGGGGGTCATGACACCCCAAAAACTTAAAGGCTACCTACTCTTCTACTAGGTCATCGCTGTCTCTAGGTAAGCTATAGACAAGTCAGAGGGGCTGTGGGGGTTTGGGATTCAGACCTTGCTGCTCAGACTTCAAACTCATGCGTTTCGGGTATCTTAGGGTTTGGGAATTGAGGTCCTTCACTGTCTACAACCCAAAACCCCGAACAACGAGTCGTTCATCTAAGACCGCTCAGGGGGCCCAGGTGTTTGATCCTTTGGGCTGTTCGTTAATGTACAAAGAAGGGGTTTTCGTGGTTTGCAAGCTTTTAACGGCTAGGATTTCAAGACTTCAGAGCTGCAAGTCGAAGTCTTAACCCTAAGCCCTGTAGAACCCCCTCCTTCACCAGTCAGGCCCAAGTAGAGTTCAAATTTCTTGATGCAGTTGAGACATGTCAACGTCGAGGCCAAGACAACGGTCTTCCTAAACCCTAAGCCCAGAGATCAAAATCGAACCTCAAATGCCTGAACCCAATACCCCACTTATCATAAGTTAAGGCAACTATAGTTGTATCTACTGAGAACTTCATTAAGGTACTTATAACTTTTTACTAAGTCCCATGATCCTCGAAGTATTCTTCTTTGCATGAGGGCTCGGCCTCATTGCCCCTAATTAAGCCTGAAATCCAAAATTCAAAACCTCAATTACCCCAATCTTTAAACCGCCAAACCTCCACACCCTAATTTACTAATCGTCAAACCCTAAACTCCCGTACCCTAATTCTTACACCCTAAACCCTAAGGCTCCGTACCCCACTGCTTCAACCCTACAGCACGAGAGGGCTTCTTCCATCAAACGGCCTGGCCAGTGATGGAGGCATGGTAGGCCGTCAGCGTGTCACCCTTTGCAAAGGTCTGGACCATGACGTACTTGGACCTTCAGGTTCGGCGGTTTCAAGGATCTGAACCCACGGTTTCGGCGCACACGCTGACACTCCGGGCGAGGCATATGGTTCGAGGGTAGGTTTACGGTTTCGGGTTTAGGGGACTGAATGAGTGGCTTCAGAAGCGCAAGACGAAACCCTGAGCCCTGCGGTTCTCAAGTTTAGGGACCGTCACGGAGTACTAGAGGTTTCGCCGCAAAACCACGCGTAAAGGCCGTTACCTTGCCGGCCGTTTCGGCACTTGGGTGCGATATCCTTCATTATGGCCGCATGATGGGATGTGTTTCACACCCATACGAGCACGGTGCTACGACCTGCAAGGCTTGACTTTGAGGTACCCAGCACCATGCTTGCCTGCCCCCTCTAGTACTTAGCTGCTGAGGGACAGGCTGGATTGAACAATTGAACATTATGGAAATGTCTGCCCAATGGAATGGGCCCCTTCAAAGTCACGTGTTGGAAAACCACCAAATGCTCGCTCTTGGCTCCACCCGGGAATGCTGAAGTTATAGTATCCTTAAGGGAGGGGGCTCCAAGGGGGGTACATAGCCTAGTGATCCCTAACTCTCCCTAGTACTCCCTAAGGTTCCCCTAAGGATTCCTTGTACCCTCCCCCCTTGAACCACCCTTCCTTAAGGATCCTATAATGAAGCCCATGCGAATGGGAGGGCGAGGCGCGTTGTCATCAGGACCTTCGGGACGTCGAACGTAACCGCGTCGATTCCGAGCTTCTGCTTGAGAGCCTCGCATGTGAGGAGGGGATCCAGACCACATCTGTGAGCCCAACAGTAGACAGGACCAACCATCGCAGGAGAAAGAACACCCCTAAACTTAAAGCCCAAACTTTCCCAAACCCTCGTAACCCAACACCCTCAGGAAACAACATACGCCAATCCATGCTTGAGGAACACACGTTACTCAGGTTACAGCGGAAACATGCTTTAGTTAGTTGATTACGGCCGTTTTGGGGATCCAAAGTACCTACAGCCCAGGCGCAGCTGTTGAAACAGCTACCCAACTATTGCTCAAATCCTGTCCTCACAACCCTGAAACGGTATAGAAATCTGTACAGATCCCTGAACGGAACCCTAAAACCCACTGGCCCAAAACCCAACGAAACAAAAGTTGAAACTTTGAGAATCGATTACCTTATAAGAAACCCAAAAGTTGAAAAGTTTAGTTTCCAGCCGATAAGAAAAGGACCGTTATTTGGAGAACCTGGGTCCCGGCCTGGTCTGCGTCGAAGCCCTTGATCAGATCCAGGCCTTTCCACCAGGCCCGAGTTCCGGGTTGTTTTCAAGGGCTTCTCGTACGGTTTACGGTTTCGGTGTCGAGATTGTAGGAGTTTAGGATTGCGGGGTTGCTTATGCGGTTTTATAGGGTTGCTAGTTCTTTTCTAGGGTTTCAGCGCCATCTTCTCAGCTTTTTGCAACTTCATGCATAAGGCAGCTTAGCAAGTAGCATAAAACTAGTGATAAACACCAAAACATGTCTAGAACTAAGATTCTCTCTCTCTCTCTCTCTCTCTCTCTCTCTCTCTCTCTCTCTGTCTCGCAACCCCCCTGTAACTGTACTTGTAGCTGTAACCCAGCTCCTGACTCAGAGGTCTCGAACCTGCAAAGTAGGGCCTCGACACTGTCAATTCCATCAGCGTAGGGTTCCTCTACTTGAAGGGTCATGGGTAATCGGGTTTACAAATAGACATGACTATCATTGCCTTACTTATAAGCCTATTTACAAAGTTTGATGAACCTTTAAGTAAGAATTAGGATTTGCTGTTTACACCCTCGCAACTCGAACAATCCAAAGGAGATCTATCGGATGTAGTCGGCGTGAAACAGGTTAAGCCTCTCGCTGCTGCTTGGGGTTCAGGATTTTCTGTTGTTCGCATCATGCGTACGCTTAGCTCTTATTCCTGCAGAAGCCTGACTGAAGGCTTTCCTTCCCACTCGCCCAGCTGATCAAGTCGCACCGGAGGCAAATTCGCCGGAAGCTTTAAAGCCCTTGACCCTAAGACCGGCTTGCATACTTCGGCTTCCTACGAACTCTAGAAGGCCGTTGAACCCCAAACTTTTGAACCTAGTGCCATGTGGAAGAACCTTAAACAGAAGCCTCAACCCCGCCCTGCACCCTAAACCCTGCCCTGAACCCAAACCCTGCCCTGAACCCTAAACCCTAAACCGCAGCCTTTCTTGGCGTTGAGGTCCTCAATCCGAAGATCGAACTCGTCCATTACGGCGCCGAGTCCTGCTGCATGCTTTCGATGTTAAAAGCAGCATGTAATATAGGGGCCTGAACGATTAGAATAGGTTTTTGTGGCCTATTATACTATTATAATAAGGAATCCCCACGATAGTATTGGTAATTATTTAGGCCACTACAGTATCCGGGCTTCTATACTTGGAGGTTCAGGGGGCTTAGTAACTAGGGCTAGAAGTAAGGTAACTATAGTTGTACCTATGTTCTACATACATATAACCTTGATCGAGGAACTTATAACCCTACTTACTAAGTCCCATGACCCTACATGTATTACATTGAAACCCCTAAACCCCTAAACCCTATAAACCCTAAACCCCAAACCCTAAACCCCTAAACCCCCGGAAACCGGCAGAACACAGCACTGTTCAACCCGAAGCCCCAACAAGCCGCGAGACTCCTGAGATCCGAATCCCAGAACTCGGGATCCTGGAAAACCCAAAGATCCCAATGCCACCTAATTAAGGAGTATACCTTAAACTATAGGGGGCTTATTTTCTAGGATTTAAATTATACCCCTTAACTAAGGAGTATACCTTAAACTATAGGGGGCTTAATTTTTAGGGTACAAAGTATACCCCTTGATTACAGAGTATACCTTAAACTATAGGGGGCTTAATTTTTAGGATTTATGATTTAAGGTATATTCCTTAATTAAAGGGTGTTGGGTTTGGTGGGAACTTACAACCCCCAAACACCCAGAGACCCCCGCCCAACACGCCATGATGCCTAAACTGATACAGAGCTTCAACTCGACACCGTCTTACTCCATCATACCCGAATTAGCCCCTATCTGAAATCCTAAACCCTAAAGCCTAAGACCTGAAAACACTAGAGTAGACTGATAAGCAAATCCATAAAACTTCCCGAGAACCCGATCATAACAGCTACCATCACAATCCGAAGCAGTAGAGCCTTAAAGCCATCTCTAGCGCCTGAACAAACCTTCACCCCTTAACCCCACACAGATAAACCCAAAGTCTGGCCTTGTTTCACAGCCTGCCAAGTGTCCACTCCGGCGGAGACCCCGTGCTGAATCATCTCCACCTGGGAGTTTCCGAAATTAGAGGATCCTAAAATAGCACCCCAAATAGTAGGATCCTTGTTGCTAGGACCCCCAAATACTGTAAGGTATCCCTAACTTCGGAAACTCCCACCTTGTCTTCGGGTTTGGAATCAGAGGGCGAGGCCGGCATTACTAGCAACATTTGCCATTCATTGTCATACTTACTATTACTATTGCTGTTCCAAAAACAACCATAACAACAACTACAACTACTACAACTACACTTACAGCTACAACTACAATTCTACTACTACTGCTACTACTACTACTACTACTACTCCTGCTGCTGCTACTACTGCTACTACTACTACTACTACTACTACTACGACTACTACTACTCCTACTACTTCATTATTGTTAATATTGTTATTGTTAGTATCGTTCTTGCAGCAAAGAGCAGCAACAGTAACAACACCTGACATAAAGGTTGCCGTAAGCTTGACCGCATGTTAAGAGTCAGCACCAGCAATAAAGAAACAATGCCACCCGTTGCTTCTGCCGTCAACATTCTTTACAGCCCAGCGTAAACAAAAACGAACATTTTTGGCGTGACGGAGCCCGTGCGCCTGCTCAGCCGTCATCTTCACGCGCAGAAGGAAGCCGCTGTTGGCTGCACAGGGATGTGAAGCTCTATAAGTTTTGGATGTTGTAAGGGTTTGTTGGATTCTATAAAGTTTTACGCTTTTACATGGTTTCATGTGCTTTAGGAGGCAAGGACGGGAAAGGACGCATGACATTGATCAGGGTCACAAGCGCTTCCGCGGTTAAAAGGGTAGGGCGAAGAAGGACCAGAACGTTGTTCGATGTTTGTGTAGGGGCTTGTTTCTGCAAGCAACACGTGGAAAGTCACCACTATCTGCTCGTGGAGACTAGGACCTATTGTTGTCAGGCGCGCTTGCTGTTAGGATTTCAGCTGCAAGTAAAAGGTCAGTCTCGAAATGGTCCTGATTAAAAAACCTTTGGCCTTTATGAGGGTTCCTGATAAACCCTACTATTTTGGGGTCATGGGCCCCAGATTTCTTAATCAAGTTCCTAGATTAAACCGAATGAAAAGCCACAAAACGCTAAACCTCAATTCTGAACGACTAGCGAACGAGCCTTATCTCGGAGCTTCAGAGCACTGCATGCAGTGTAGGGTTGCCGAAGTTTAGGGTTTCGGCGTTTAGAGTTTAGGGTACCCAGAGAGCCCAATACCCCTTAACTAGGGAATATGGCTTAAACTATATAAGGCTTCATTATTATTCTTCTTATTATTATTCTGATGTACGCATAATCCCTTCTTTGGGGTGTGGTTGCGACTGGCATTCCGCAGCTGCGGGTCTCTCTTTGGGAGCCCCTCAAGCCCTAAACTCTAAACCCTTAACCGTCCCCCTGGCACGAGAAGCCACAGGTTGCAGTAGGGTTTGGGGGTTCGGCGTCTACAAGCTCAGAAACCCCACAAGGGGGTTTGGGATTTTAGGGCTTAAACAAAAGAGGGTTTAAGGGGGTAGGGGTTTAGTTTAGGGTTAAGGCTTAAGGGTTGGGGCTTCAAGAAGATAGGCTTTCGGGCGGAAAAGTCCTGCCTATGATTTTGTGAATCGTCCAGAGGAGAGTGTTCCCCAGGAACTGGATCGCCTCCCAATCGTCCTGCGAAAGATGCGACTGTCTAAAAAGTGAGTTCATGCACATATCGCGCCTTCTCCTTCATACTTCCCAATTCTGGGGGGTTTACCCAAAAGTATAAGCACAGAAAGGAACGCTCGGAACTTCGATTGTCATGATGCAGGCTTCATACTTTAGCCTCTACTGATTCCTAGCGGCGTAAACCTGTTTCCGTTGCCAGAGGCTGTGCTACAGATCCTAGGTCGCATGCTAAACCATAAAGAGTTTGGTACGCCTAAACCTTAAACCCCAAGCCCCAAACTGCCCCAAATGCTTGCCTGGTAGTTCTTCTCGTTGGTGTCGAACACGACCTTCAGCACCACGTCGCATGGAGGGGCTCCTGACATCGTTGGGATGAGGATGCACGGATTAGGATACAGCCTCAATATGTGTATATACATATATATACAGATATGTCATATGTCTATACGGATACACATTGGAACACAATGTATCAAGTACTCTGGTCCCTTACAAAACCCCTTAAACTCCCTTGTAGAACCACTAGAACCCTCATTACGGAGCCGGTGTAGGGGTCTAGGGGTTTTATGTGCTTAGGGTTTAGGGGTTCAGGGGTTTAGATTGTAGGGCTTGGGCTTGGGGATTGGGGGGGTTAGGGTTTCAGGGTTTGGGCTTAGCGGTTTTTGTATCCAATACACCCTGAACCCAGGATTCCAAAAGCTCCCTGTGCGACTAAACTGGACTGGACGGTTTAGGGCTGAGGGTTAAGGAGTAGCGATTTGTCACATCCAACACACAAGGTTTTTGGGTGTAGGGCTCGGGCTTCAGGCTGTTTGCCCCTGAATTCTTCATCCAACCCAGCCCGCCGCGACAAGCCCTGATGAAACTGCCTGTGCCGCAGAGATAGTCGCGAACCTTTCCGGTGGACTTCACCTGCGACTAGAGATGGATGTGCTGGCAGTCAAAAGAAGGAACTTATGACTTTCAAGCTGGTGATTATGATAAGGATTCGTTGAAGCTACAGGTCTGGGTTCGGAATATGTTTTCGCGGTAGGAAACTTCGCGGAAGCCAGCAAAGCAAAAAGTGTTGGTTCCTCTGAACGATTATACAGATCCGCACAAAAAGGAGGCTGCAAAGCCCCATCAAAAATCATACGGCGCGAAACCTTGAACCCGGGACCTCTCCCTCTCTCTCTCTCTCTCTCTCTCTCTCTCTCTCTCTCGCGCTTGTTGTGCTCGACCTGGATTGTTGAAATGATGAGACAGCACGTCTTATCTCAAGCAAAGCAGGCATACCACCAGGGGCAGGTCAGAATCATCATCAACTTCCTTCATCCTCCTCCTCCTCGTCATCATCAACCGCCTCCTCATCTTCATCTTCACCTCATCTTCATCACCATCATCATGGCCAGTCATCATCATCATCATCATCATCGCAGTGATCATCATCACCACCATCATACAAATTCGCTGCAACATCACGTGGTTCAAAGAACCCTGGCTGATGCATGTGTATGATTACATGCATGTATACGTACATACATACATACATACATACATACATACATACATGTATACACACATATACGTACACACACACATGTACGTGTACCTATGCACATGTGTATGTGTACGTCTACACATATTGATATGCTTGTACATACACATACACACACACACACATAGGTACACACATGCATGCATGCATACCTGCATACATATACATACATATACGCACATCAATATAATTATATATACATACATACATACATACATACATAACTAACTACATACATATATTTTCCATACATACATACATACATACATACATACATCAATTGATTCTGATACATTGTGCGTGTGTGCTTGTAGACTTCCGAGTCTGTCTCGACTTGCAAAGCAACGCGCAGAACGGTGGCCTTGGCGGAAAGGACCTGGGCCACACTTCCCGTGGCCTCAGCACTCCGACCGCTCTTGTTAAGACATTTCATTGCAACAATAGCAGTAGTAGTAAACATAGCAAGAATAACAACAAAGGAAAGGACATTAGCACTAACAACGATAGCAACAACAGCATTCAACAATAGCAAATAACTAGTCAAAACGATAGAAACATTGATTACTATGCAGGGTTTGGGGCGTGATTGTTTTCGGTCCGACCGTCGTGGGAGGGCTCACGCAGCCCCGGCAGGCTTCAGGAATGGAAGGCGGTCCAGGGATTTCGATCCTAAACGCTGAAAGAGCGGAAGAGCAGTCATTCAAGGTTTAGGTTTGCTTCTGCTTTTCAGCTTCGGCTTTAGTCTTGGGTTTCGGATGTTGGTCTGGGATACTGAACTAGTCAAGAAAGGGACCTCCATCAAAGGACTTCTTCGTGAAAGGTCCAGAAATGCGCCGCCGTAGCAGGTGCAAATCAAATCATAGCAGGGGACCGCCTCCGATCCTTAAGCAGCCACTCAAGTCTGACAACAGGATCCCCAAATTGAAATCCGCATAAACCCCACGCCTTACACCCTTATTGTAGCCCGGAACCATAACCCGAAACCCTAAACCACCTTCTGCCTCCCCAGCCGCTCCAGAAACTCTGCCGAGTTGCTAGAGTCTTTCCCAGCTCCAAGTGCTCGTCAAGATCATCGATGACCTGAGATAGGCGTTGATGTTAGAGCTTTTCGCTTTTGTCTTGGTTCTGTCGGCTTGAGTGGTTTAGGTGCTGCTCTCTAGTGCGTCTATACAGGCCCGAAGTCAATCCGTCAAAACGGACGGGCCTTCTGCGACTTGGAACCTAACCCCAAGCCCTAAATCAATCCAGAGGACCAGACACAACCCCAAACAACCCTAAACCTTAGGCTGCAGATAAAAGATCTATTGGCCGCGGTCCTCTGGAGTACTGGAAGATCTCCACAGGGAGGTAGGTCTGTAAGTTACATGGGTAGGTCTCTGCATGGGGGGGGGCTTTTAGGGTCCTTTGTGTAAGGGTGCCGTACTAGTTTGGGGACCAAAGAAGGTCCCTTGTTTGGAGAACTATCCAAATTAGATACGAAAATTACTTGACGTACTCGGCTCTATAGACATGACACTGAAAGTAGTAAGTATCTTAGGCGCATGGCTGTAGTCTCCAATGTCCCGGAGAATTCTGCCAGAAACTGCGATTAGTTTCCGGTGTCTAAGAAACTAAACGAGGTCTTCAGTGCTTCAGAAACTGAGGGCTTAGGCCACAAGTCTGCGTTTGGGGTGCAGGGTGCACATGGTATCCGACAACCGTGAGCTCCCCTCGGAGTCCAGAGACTCCAATACCCCTTAATATTAAGGAATGTACCTTAAATTATACTAGGATCCCTTATATGATTTAAGGAATATTCCTTAATTAAGGGGTATTGGAGTCGCTGGGAGTCTTGATGCATTCTCACCCCTGAACCCTTCCAGTAGAAGCCCAAAAGTTGGAAAGCCAATAACCTCGATCTCTAAGAGTGATGTATAGGGAATCCCAGCACTAAGCCTTAGTCTGGTTTCCAACTTTACCGGGGTTTACTGTAATGTAGACCCAGTTTCTTCAAGATGAATGTAGACCCCAGATTTATGTACCCAGTTTCTTGAGGAGGCTGTGTTCAAGGATCCCTATGCTAATCCTTCTGAGGCGCGTGTAATGAACTAGGGGTTTCTATTTGCGTGGGCACTTGGCAACCGCCCATCCGAACCTGCCCTGATGACAGATGGGAGTTTCCGAAAAAGGTGCCCCTAATATAGTACCCTAAATAGTAGGATCCTTACTATGACTATAAGGACCCAAGATAAGGTACCCCTAATTTCGGAAACTCCAAAATCATGAACCTCCGAGACTCTTACGTTGTTGCTTCTTTGCTAATCGGCGCGATTCTTACGGTGTCGACAGCTTCGACTCGCACACTCGCAATGGGCAGGAACGGATGCATGGATCAGTTGAGGGCCTTTTTGGAACACCTCTTGGGGTATCAGGTTTCTGTATCTCCAAGGGTAAAAGGAGGGACCCTTAATTAATAAGGACCCCTAGGTATATACATACCCTTTATATAGCTGTTATATACCCATTATAGGGTAGGGGTCCCCATTAAGGGTCCCCGGCCGCAGACCTTAAGCCCCAAAACCCTACTTAAAGGATCAGGGGACTTAGTAAGTAGGGTTATAAGTAAGGTAACTATAGTTATATCTACTTATAACCCTAATTAAGGTACTTATAACCCTAGTTACTAAGTCCCATGATCCTCTAAGTAAAGCCAGCCTAGCACTGAGCCCACGAGATTCAAGCGAGCTTGAGGAGGCACCCCACAGGGCCAAAAACCGAAACCCTGAACTCTCTAAATCCCAACCCTTTGGGATGACACCCTAACCCTAAACCCTAGACCCCTAAACCCCCCTAAACCCTTGACCCCTGAACCCCTAAACCCTAAACCCCTAAACCCAAAACCCTAATGACCTACAAGCCGAAACCCTGTCAGAGGCGGCGGACGAGGTCACGTTCATTCGTCGCAGCGTTGTTGTCTAAGGCTTCCTGAAGCTTCCTCCGCCGGCCGTGGGCTTTTGAGCTTAGGGTTTAGGATCTGTGGTGGTTTAGGGTTTTTTTTAGAGTTTAGGGTTTGGGATCTTTGGTGGTTTAGGGTGTAAGACTTTTGGGCTTCGGTATTAGGGTTTAGGACTCTTGGGCTTCGGTTTTAGGGACGACTTCGGCGGAGCCTTGTGCCCTACCTGGGCTACCCAAAACCCTCCTTCGGTCTAGGGCTAGAAACCTCTTTCTGGAATCCGAAGTTCTCAGCCCCAGGTCATAGTACAGTGCAAAAAGTGGGCGGGTGGTAGTGGAGATGCTCGTGCCAGCCGTCGTCGTCCAGAGCCTCCTGCTGTTGCAATGTGTGCGGATGATCGATGTCTCCGTGACCGTGACCGTGGTCGTGCTCAAGGCCGTAGTCTCCAGCAACCTTGGCGGCAGTGTGCCTGTGTGGATGCGAGTGGAAGAGGAGAACCCAAAGCCAGTATGTCACGGCAGCCGTGCTCACGAAGCACACGGAGCAGTTGATCAGTATATGAAACTGCGCCGGCTTGTCGAGGATCATTCCGGAGCCGTACATTATGAGGGTGCCGATAGAGGTAAGGGCAGTGTCCACGGACCCTATCGCCGAGCGGTGGCGCGCGTCCGCCAGCTCCTGCTCCGTGTTTAGGACGGCGAGCTCAAAGGAGTAAAGCCCCGCTCGTGCGACGCAAACGGCGACCATAAAGCTCAACAATGCCGGCCCGAGCCCAGGAGTCTGAGGTGCCTCTCGAAACGCAAACAGCGCCAGCATTACGCTGCCTGCAAGCCAAGTCACAGAGAAAGCCTCGGCAGGACGGCTGCCGATCTGACGGCTGAGAATCGGATGTCCAATCACACCAAGCACACCCATTATGGCGCCTCCACCTCTCAGCAACGAGAGCTGCCAGGTGGCCACACCTCGCTGCATCAAGTAGGCGGTCAGGAGAGCCCCATGCGGTGACAGCACCGTCAGGTAGAGCAACGCATAAGATATGCTCAGGAACTGGATGCCGCTGGGGTGGCTCCCCCAAGCCTTCCATGCCTCTACCTTGGCCACCAAAGGATTCGCCTTGCGCTGCACCTGCTCGGCTGGCAACGGCTGCAGCTTCTCGGTGCAGGCGGCGTAGATCTCCAGTAGAAGGCTCAACTGGGGAAGGAAGGACAGGGCATTCCTGGGTTCTTGTTAAGGGATTTCATTCAAGTTACCAGACTCAGGAGACCAGAGTATTTACTATAGATGCCCATTATGGTAGCTTAAACTAAACGGCTTTAGAAGAACCCAGGGTCAAGATCCCAACCACCACGAAGCCGGCGGCCTCGGCGTCTTCAACGCCCAGGTCGATCGCCACGCGAGGTGTGATCAGAAGCCCGGCCAGCAGAGGGCCTACAGTTAGAGTGACCAGATCAATCTGGGACATCACAGAGTTTGTGTCCTTCAACATGTCACCGGAGAATAAGCGCGGTGACCAGTCCCGCTTCACAGAGACGTCGCTTATAGTGGCACCCAACTTCTCCACGATACTGAGAGCCGTGAAGACAAGAAGTCCTCCCAAGCTCATCGAGTTTGGGTCAGCTTGCAGCACCAGAAGCAACACCACCGTGCAGCCGAAAACTGCGAAACCCTGAGCAACCACGCCGCCTGCAACGACAAGTCGACGGTCTGCCTGGTCTGCCCAAGCCCCGAGAGCGGGTGAAATCAGCGCACAGGCGAAGGTCGTCGCAAAGCCCCAGAATGCAGGGCCAACAAGCGATCCCGGCACGAAGCGGAGAAGGACCAGCGGAGCGATAAAAAGCCATCCCTGACTCCCAAGCCGTGTGATCGCATGGCTCAAGAACAGCTTTTGCTGCACCTGAGTGTCTGTGAGCCCCGGCAGCAGTGGCTCGGCTGCGGCCATCGTTGGGCGATGTTGGGATTCACTACTACCGAGGGGCTGTAGTCACTCCTATTCTACCCAAAATCCTGGGCGAGCCGAAGGAACTTTCAGTCCCTTAGACTCTATAAACCCCAATAGCCATACACTCCGAAATCCCGGCAATCCTGAGCTGCATGATCTCGAGCAATCTTGCCTATGAGCCTGTCTGAGACACAATGTCCCTAAACCCTAAACCCGAACTAGGCCACATAGTTCAAGCGAGTCACTGGGAATCGCCTACTTGGAGAATCATGGGACTTAGGAAGTAAGGTTATAAATACCTTAATGCGGTTATAAGTAGTAGATATTACTGAAGTCACCTTCCTTATAACCCTACTTACTAAGTCCCCTAAACCCTAAGCCCCTATAGAACCCTTAAAGAACTCTGAAAGGAACCTTTAAAGGAACCCTTAAGATGATCCTCTAAGTACAGTGGAGAACAACATGGAAACCCCACCCTCGGCCGAACGGCACAGGTCTCTACAACTGCTAGACCGTACGTCCCAGGGAATCCAATATCCCTTAGTTAAGGAATATTCCTGAAATTATGGTAGGATCCCTAATATTATGTAAGGAATATCTAATACGATTGAAGGAATATTCCGTAATTAAGGGATATTGGAGTCTCTCAGTACTTAGAAGTTCCTAACTAGGGTCGTAACGCAGAGGGTCCATAAACACTACCATCATGGATTTATAGGTCCCACAAAACCATTCCTAGAATGGCTTATGGGGCCTAATTCTATAATAGTAGTGTATATGGACCCATTGGGTAAGTACCGCAATTAGGATTTCAACTGGGTATAACCATAATATAACCCTACTTACTACGTCCCCCGAACCTCAGAACCCTTAGACGAACTGTACTTAAAAAGTCCCGTTAACCTCAAAGCGGACCCCCATATCTCGAATCCTAGAGGGGGGTTGCCCGCTCTCCTGGCGACGTACGCGCGCACAAACCTGGGAGGGCTGCGCAATGCGAAGATCCGTGGGAACTTATCAGGGTTTTAGGCGCGGTAGCCATTGATGTTGGGGCGCAGTGTTTCAGAGCTAAAACTTGCTCCAGGGTTCCAGACTACAGAGATGGAGATCAGGATGCAGGGCCATGAAGATCTGGGATACTGATGCTTAAGAAGCTGCACGAAGTACACTTGCAGGATCATGGAACTTAGTGTATAAGTAGGCTTAGAAGTACGGTAACTTTAGTTATATCCTCAATTAAGGTACTTATAACCCTACTTACTAAGCCCCATGATCCTCCAACTAGGCCCTAAACCTAAACCCTGTAGATCCCTTTAAGGAACCCTTTAAGGAACCCTACTGACTACGTCCCAGTGTCCTCCAAGCAAACGAAGCCTGGAAGGTCCTACAGAGCCCAATGCCTGGCCTCGAAGCGCCATTTCTGATTCAGCCCAAAAGAGAACTGTAGGGGCAGAATAGGGTTCTTTAATGGGCTCCTTTACAAGGGGTCTATAAGGGATCTATAATGGGCTTCTATGATATGGGGGCCTTGATAATTAGAATAGGGTTTTGGGGCCCATATTATACTATATTTCTAGTAAGGAACCCCCAAAATAGTATAGGTAATTAAGCCCCTATATTACGTAGGAAACCCAATACCTGAAAACCCTGAAACCTTGCCTGCGGTATGCTAGCAAGGGCTGCTTCCCCCCTCCTACTCTCAAACTCCTACTGCTGCTCCTTCCAGAAGACCGGCCGAACTTACAACAGCCCTCCAGGAGGTTCAAGCTTGTGGGCAGCTTTGAGGAGCTCGGGGGGGTGGGTCCAGAAGGGCATGTTTTCTTTCTACTGAGCTTGTTGATTTAAGCTTGACCACATCCACTCCAAGACAGAAGCTGCTCAGAAAGGTCCCTTAGCAAGGCAAAATTGAAAGAACAATAGGGATCAATTGGAATGACTACCTGCAGATGGGCTGCGCGTGATCTTTGGCCGGGTTTTCCGTCTGCGTTGACTTCAAGGCGGACCGGACGAAGTCATCCTTGCCGCAGGAGCTACGGAACATCTGCCTGCACTCTAAACCACAGCAAGGCAAGTATAAAGGCCCCCTTGTTCCTCATAGCGTCCTGTGGAGCTTTCTACCTCCGAACTTTTGAACCGGTAGATCCCAAATCTGCATCAAGCCGTGGCAGTACGGGGCTGAACATTGCCAATCTTAAACCTGCAAAAGCTTCAAGCCGTCAAGCCTAAATCCATAAACGAGAAAACACTGAAAACACGATGCCCAAATATCAAAAGCCCTAAGTCTAATCCTAAGTGCCAAAGGCCTCAGACCTTGCAGCCAAAAAGTGCTAACCTCTCACGACAGTGTATGCCGCGGCCTTGACAACGTCGGGTTTCATAGCGAGCCTTGTTTGCCCAAATGGAGCTGGAAGGGTCTGAGAATTTTCGAGCTGCCCTTCCTGTCTTTAGGGTTCTGGATATGCGGATGCTTTAAGCATCACGGCTCGGATAGTTTTGCCCTTCGACAGGCGCATTTAGCGTTGAAGGCAAAGGCTTTGGGTTGTCACAGGTAGCTAAGATGTTACCCAAGGATCTCTGGGCTTGGGAACGTTGACTAGGATGCTGTTGCTCGTGATGACATGGTATTATTGTTACTGTTGCCATACTACATTCCGCTCCATTAGACTCTGGTACAAGTAGTATAAAGTAGAAGCCAGAAAATCGGAACATCATTATCCTGATGCCCGTGGAATAAAGCACAGGAAACCCCAGCACCAATCATCCTAAATTAATGTTCCAACTTCCTGGGGTTCACCAAGGTAGAGTACAGTAAACCCCATAAAGTTGGAAACTGGATTAAGGCCAAATAGTGCATGGATTCCCTACACATTACTCTTAAGGATTGAGGCTATTGGGTTTCCAGCTTTTTGGCATATACTGTACTGTAACATGGTATGTTTTAGAAGCTGCCCCCACCCTGTAATTGTGACTATAAGGATTAGATTAGGGCCTATTATATTCCTATTGTACCACTATTACAGGGTGGGGGTAAGGTATGTTGTAGTATCTGCGTCCGATGCGAAATCCTATCCCTACTTAGCTGATCCGCAACCCCGGACCGAGATTACAGTAGCGAGGCGGGCTGACTGGAAAAGAGCACGTGTAGTCATACATAGCCATAAACACTATTAACTCGCATTATTATGATTCGTACGTCTAAAACTAAACATGGTAATAACACGGAGCAGAAAATTAAAACTAGTCTGAATCTTGGCATGCGCAGCACTTGCTACTTCTCCTCCTCCTCCTCCTCCTCCTCCTTCTTCTCCTCCCCGCTCCTCCTCCCACAGCTACTGCTACCGCTACCACTGCGACCACTCCACGAGGAGACCCCGAACCACGAAATGCTGAAGCTTCTCTGAGGTCAAGGGTTCAGTAGTACAGTAGGGTTTGGGTTTGAGGAATTGTGAATAAAGGTTGAGGGTTCATAGAGCTTAGGGTCTTTTGGGGTTTCAGGTACTTGTAACCCTCGAAGATCAACCTGAAAGTTTGCAGACTCAAGACCGCCCCCCGAACCCATATCACCGTGCGAGAGGCGTCTGAGACACCTTTGGCATGATACCCCCTGCCGACTTGACCTGCCAAGCCGCTCTAGTTTAGGGACCTGAAGGGTATATACGTAGGACCTTGCTTAGAAGCTCTTCCGAACGAACACTAATTATCCAGGCTTCTGCATTAGCACCCAAAGCTTGAAACTCCGGTGCTTCCATTCAGGACAGAAGCGATACGCTTATGAAACGTCATGATCGGCAGAATAGGGGCGTGAAGTGCGTGGTTTTCCTAGTTCTGTACAGACTAATAGAAAGCTTGGCATGATTCGGGATATATTGCTTAAGGGAAGGGTATCGGGTTGCCTGGAGCTGTCAACCTTGCCCCCACGAGCCCTATTGTCCAAAGCCGAAATCCTTTGTAGAATCCTGATAGATGTTCTTGTTGATAACCCTTCTAGAACCGTGGTAGCACTCATGAGCAGAAGCCAACAAGTTGGCCACTCAATCAAGGATCAAGTAGAAGTAGGGCTTGTCATCCCCATGATTCCATGTGGCGTCAGCTCTACATTCCCAAAGCCTTACAAACCTAAACCGCTCAACCCTGAACCCTAAATCGTCGAAGGGCCCAAAAGCATGCACTTTCCGTCCGAAGTTCTGCCCCGAGAAAGCAATGTAAAGGAAACCTTCTGCTACGGATTTAGTTTGCGGCCTGTGCTTCTACGTGTTTTTTGAGAGGGGGGGTGTAGGGGTTAGGGTTTAGGTTTTTGGGTCGGCGAGGGAACTCTTCAATAAGCTTCTAAGGAACTAAAGTTTTTTTGGGTCTATCTCTAGCTCTCTCTCTCCCTCTGCCACGGTATCCAGAGGCAGCACAACACCAGAGTTTGGGGCTTGAGATTTGGGAGTTTCCGACAACTACGGGGCACCTTATTTTGGGGTCTTTATGGTCAGGATCCTACTGTTTAGGATACTGTTTTAAGGTCCCCTATGTTCGGAAACTCCCATATAAGGCCTTAGGTTTCAGTGTTTCTTTTGAGGATTTCGAGTTGGGCTGGGTTCCTCGTCCACCATCATCTCGGCACAGGCATACCTCGGCAAAGTAGGCTCAAGGGCTGCTCAAGGGCTTCAGGTATGTTTGAAGGATTTAGGACTTGGCTTGGTGAATCGGGGTTCAGGGGGGCAGACCTTACACACTTCGAGTGCAGCAGAAAGACAGTTTACAGCAGGTGTCAAAGGTTTAGGGCAGCCGAGAAGTTCCGTCACTCTGCATCCCCGGACGTTTCAACTTGGGAGCTTGCATGTGGGAGTTTCCGAAAATAAGGGGGCACCTTATTCTGGGGTCGTTACAGTAAGGATCCTACGTTTTAGGGTCAAGTATCAAGTCCGTTCCCTTTCTTTCGGAAACCCCCCATGGAGCGCCAAAGTAGCAGCAACGGGGCTTACAGGCACGTTGCATGTCCGGGGGGTGCGTGTGGCATGGCTGCGGTGAGGGCTCAGAGAAACTTCCGTGGCCGGGCATTCCTCTCTTTCTAGAACCCCAAAACCCCACGCCCGAAACCCAAACTACCTTGGGCTGAACCTTCAACCTCTGCAGCGACAGCAAAACCCTAAACCCTAACCCCTAAACTCTCTGATGCACTCGGCCAGTCCCAAACCAAACCGGGGTGCTTCTCGCCCTCCGTCATGTTCTTCCCCGACACGGACCTCTGCAAACTCTTCGTGCACTGAGTCTTCCACAAGATCACCCAGAGACTCCAATGTCCCTTAATCAAGGAATATACTTTAAGTTGTGATAGGATCTCTAATATGATTTAGGGAATCTTCCTTAATTAAGGGATATCGGAGACACTGGGCACTAAGCTATGATCCTGAATGGTAGCCCGAGCCATGAAGAACAAACACCAAGCACCTATGCATCCATGGGTCCTTCTCCAGCATGCTCTGTCTACATGCTTCCTGATACAACTGGCGCACCCTACACATGTCCGGCCCCTCAGGAAGGTGCGGCAGCTTGCTGTTGAACAAAAACTATATGGCCCCTTTTGGGGTACCCTACATATTATAGGTGCCGTACTATATTAAGGACCCAAAAAGGGACCATAATTTTGACAACCACCCATATAGGAAAGACTCGAAACGATGGTACGAACACCCACCAGCCTGAAACAAGAGACCTTGAGGTCTCAAACCCTAGTATAGCTCAGTGCTTAGACTCGCGGTTGGGGTACATGATGTAGTGTAGATACCAAAAGGAAATACTCAAGCGCCTGTAATTCTGAACTCCCCAGTTTGGGTCATGACTCTAGTGACGGGCAGACTGGTCTGGAAGCCTTTTCCCGGTTTCGGGCTTGGGGTTTCGGATTCATCTGAGGCACACCCCTGTCTGGATATAGTCGACGAGGGCAGCGGCCTCAAGTGGGGGGATTGTGCACTGAAGCAGCTAGAGGGGGACGGTTCAGGTTTCAAGGAGCCACCACTAAACCCTACTGCCTACATAGACCCACCAACTGCCCTCTAGGGGACACGAACATACTACTTTCCTTGCTGGCTCTGACTGGGACCCGGCGAGGCAAACAAACTAATCCCCCCAAAGCCCAAACCCAAAGCCCTATACCACAAACACTCGAAAAAGAAACTATGAAACGCGTACTGCGCAGGAATAGGATTCCGTAAAAGGGCTCCTTGAAGTTATGACAAGGGATACTATCAGGGCTTAAGAAGTGGACTATGGTTTTAAGCTTCAGCATCGAGCTCGGTTTAAGGCTCTTGATCCGTTGAGGGACACGATATGGCTGTAAGGCGGTATGATCGCAAGCTGATGTTTTCGAAGGCCAAAGGGCTGGCGGTCAAGGCAGCCGAGACTACGGCTACGACAGCACTGACTCGTTATGATGACCTTGTGTATTCCTTGTACCATTACCATTAAGATGCTGATGATGATGGCGATGACGAAGATGATTATTTTTAACTTTTCTAGTATCGTGTTACTCTTGTTGAAACTCTGATTAGTACTTATGACACAGGGAATTATAGCTGCGCCTTCTCTTCCCCCGGCCCTGAGGCTCTGAGGACTTATACTTGAAGAGCCCTGGTGGCCATTTTTGAACCTGACCCAAAAAATCAAAAGTAGGCAAAATAATGGCCCAACACTTGTAAATGGTCTTTTTTTGATCACAAGCTCAAATCCTGCATCAGCTCAGAAAGCAATTATGTTGCATACTTCGGGGTTCAGGTGCGGTCCCTGCAGGAAGGTATGAAGCACGACGGGTTGTTGGGATTCGCGCTGAAGCCACTGTAACCCTACCGTCAACTGCAACCAGCCTCTGAAGACCATACTAAAAAAACCCAGCCTCCAAGCAAGACCCTCTTGCAAGTTGGTTTAGGGTTTAGGGGTTTAGGGATATAAGTTCCACAATAGCAGGTCCCGCACTAAGCCCGACTGCAATCCCCCTGTTCCCCTCTTCCAAAAGCACCTTCTCAACCTTCTCCCAGAGTGCGAGGCCACGCCAGATGATCTGAGTGTAGTCGCGATCTGCCAGTCAAATGCTTTACCCATGGGCTCCATAGTAGTTCCTTTTTGGGACTACCTTATAGGATTCTGAATATGAAACCCAAAAAGGAACTACTATGGAGCCTCTAGGTAGGGCCCAACTTTCGGCGTTTTTAAGACAACGTGGTCGTCTACAAGCCTGGGAACTGACAAACTCTGAACCGCTTTGGGGCTTAGGGTTTAGGGTTTAGGGCTTAGGGTCTGCATAGTAGGGTTTCACTAGCGAATCTTTGAGGCGTGGAGGTCGGGGATCACAGCTTCAATCGCAGATGGTGCATCTTGACGTGGAGGTCCCCTGTGTAAACACAGGAACGGAAACCGAAATCGTATCATCGGCAGCAGGAATTCATAACAACTCTCGTACTCTTGAGTACAGTCACCTCGTAACTTTACTCTGCGTGTGCTATCGGCAAGCCCAAGCACGGGGAACAGTAGTCGTGGGGCAGGTTCACGCTTCGATTGGAAAGGGCTAATAGAATTTGTTTGTTGCAGTCTGACAAGTGCCGCTTACATAGCTTGAGATCTCTGTGAACGGCTTGTCTGTTTGATTCGGGATGTTGCGGGCACCGGATCGCGAAGCCAAGCTATTGAAAGACGGAAAGGCCTAACACTAAATTAGGAGCTTAACCCTAAAGGGAGCTATGTGATCAGGTGTCGACAAAAACTCTAGGACTTCCAGCCCTGTCCCTGATCCAATACCCCCTGCTGCGCCCGAAACCCCATATGGAACATTATTTTGGGTATTGCAGGATTTACATCATCGACCGTAGGTCTTTGGAGGTTTTACCTCGGGATCATTGAAACGAGCGTTCTGGGTTTTGCTGCTTGAATACAAAGCTTCAAGGTGGCCGTGGTCCTACATCCTGCATCCTGGTATGACCCAGCGAGCCGAATACCCCGTAATTTCAGGAATACACCTTGAATCATAATATTAAGACTCCTATAACTCAAGGTACAACCCGTAATTTAGGGGTATTGGGGTCTTTGGGGATACAGGGTTTGAATACTCGCCTCCCCATGGAAGGCCAAGAAACATACTCACCAATGCTCAACAGGAGCCGAACACTACCCCAATATGAAGAAAGGCCTCAATTAATAAAATCAGAATAGGGTTTTGGAGCCCATTATACTCTTACTATACTAAGGAAGCCCCCACCATAGTATTGGTAATTAATTCAGCCCCCCAAAACCTGCTTCGCATCAGCGCCGCTCCTCGATTCCAGAAGAAGCCACTGAAGGCGCCTCGCAGCGTGCCTGGCATTTGAACCCAGGGACTCCAATATCCCTTAAAAAAAATATTCTTTACATCATATTAGGGATCCCACTAAAATTTAGGGAATATTCCTTAATTGAGGGATATTGGAGCCTCTGGGAAGGTCGAAGGTTCGACTGGTTGACTGGGCAAGATCGGGGCCTTAATACTTACCTATAGTATGCTTTGTGTTTATTTCATTCCGCTGGCCCTTTTTGGAAAGGAAACAAAGCTCCCAAAAAGGGTTCCTTGAAAAGGGGTTACTATTAAGGGATCTACAGTAGGGTTCTATGATAGAGGGGCCTTAATCATTAGAATAGGGTTTTGGGGCCAATTATACTGTAGTTATACAAAGGAACCACCAGCGATTCAACAGTGATCTTTTTGATGCTCAGCCTCGAACAATGCCAGGTATGGTCTGTTGACAAGACAAGTTAGAATCACTAACAGAGCACAACAGCCCTTCAGGGCTAAGGGTTCAAGGTTTACGGCGATGTGTGAATAACTAGGTGTTTGTATAGAACTAGAACTGTGACGCCAGAGCATGAGATTTTCTGAAATCCCCAAACCCTGAAACTCCATCTTGAGGTCCATGCCAAAGCTTACGCTAAACTCTAAACCTTGAACCGTGCATCCGCGCTCGATCGCTCGCTGGAACCTCGCAACGTTCAGACCCTGCGTCGCGAATTTCAGTTTTTGGCCAAGGCAACTGGAAACATCGCGCCTGGTGCAGGGCACCCTAAGGACTACTTTAAGTCACCATAATGAGGATATGCAGCAAAGATTATGGGTTCTTTATTATGGCAACTTAAAATCAAATTCCTTAACAAGAGCCTTGTAAATACTAAACCCCGAGCCCCAAGCCAAAGCCGTATTTTGGTGGCAGGTACTAGACCCTTTCTGAACCCGGGCTCTCTGAGGTGCGGCACCGGAGCAGAATCACTGAAGCATTAAACCCTAAACCCAAAAACCCTAAACCCCAAAACCCTAAAGCCCAAACCCCACAACACTAAACCCCAAAACCCCTGAACCCCTAACCCCACAACCCCTAAACCCAAAACTAACGGGCCATCCCCACCTGCTGCCAGCGTGACGATTGTTGAAGCGGCGCCGCCCTTCTGATTGAACCAGTGGGCCTGGACACAGGTTTCAGGGTCAAGATAAGGGTATAGAAATAGGTTCCACAATACACATACTAATTACTAGTACTTATTAAAAACAAATATTAACGCTTTTCAGAATTTAATCTCACCTTTTCGATCGCATGACAACGAAATGGGCCTTACGGCCCGGAGGGGGGAGGAGGGCTCCTTTGAGGGTTCTGTAGTATAAGGGTGCCATAAAGGCTTAGGGTTTACACTCTCGCAACTCGGACAAGCCAGACGAGGTCTCTGAGTTCGGGTCGGCGACTAATTACAACTAGGCAGCGGCGATTCACTTCTCCAAGGTTCAGGGTTGAGGGTGCAAGACAGGGGCCGACTCCCAGCGCTGACAGAAACAAAGCTGAGTGAACATGGCTGAGGAGCCTGCATGACATGAACCCTATAAGGGCCTTAACAAGTAGAATAGGGCTTGGGGGTTATATTATGCCAAAATTGTAAGAAGGAGCCTCCAAGACAGTATTGGTATTTAGTATTTATTTAGGCCCCTATAGAACCATGTCACCCGATGATGCTAGACTGCTAGACACACGGCCGTGTTGCGTAAGGTGGCCGAAGGCAACATACGCATGCTGCATGCAAACATCCTCTCTTAGGCAGGAGACAGAAGAGCCTATCCAAAACACTGCCCAGTAGAGGTCCAGAATCCCAGGTTCAAGTTAACCTGTTACGGCCGTGTGTCTAGCAGTCTAGCATCATCGGATGAGATGGTTCTATAGGGGCCTAAATAAATACTAAATATGGAGGTTCCCTCTTATAATTATGGCATAATACAACCCCCAAGTCGGAAGCAAGGATTGAGAGCTTTGGGGATCCCATGCTCTAGCAAGGTCTTCGCACAAGGGAGATAAAAAGCATCACCGAGCCCAGCATGCTTGCTAACAAGGAGAGCTCCTTATCCTGTACCCCCCTTAGAACCATACTTACAATATTCTCTTGGGTTTTATATGAACAAAAACAAATAATAATTCCTAAAGGAGACTACAGTATCCATTGAAAGGGGAAACTGGGAGACTGGGTGCAAGTCTAAGCCAAGCGGCCCAGGCCACTCGAGAGTTTTCGACCGTGAGCAAACACTTGCTGTTCTTCAGAAGGAAGTCCTCTTCCCAACAGGCGAGCAACCGTTGAAGAACACTATCCCTTATTAGCTAGTTATTCGTCTTTAACATCATCTATGACAACACCGCTTAATTAGGGGGCAGATTGGGCTGGGGCCCACGTGGAATGGCTATACTGCTACAGTTGACGGAGCTCCTACACATAGACAGCCGCAGTCTGAATGAAAGATTGCATAGATACATTGATCTGGGGTGCATGGTCGAAACATCATTTCCAAAGGACTGGGTGTTGAAAAACCTGCCAATAATTGCACTTGTGAATACGTGCGGGCATGCAGGAATGCATGCATGCCCATATGTAGGTGTGTATGTATGCATGTATGTATGTATATAGAGACGTATATGAAACAGTGCATATGTACACCGATATGCATGCATTCTCTATCTCCCTCAGCCCCCCTCCATCTCTCCCTCGTCTGTCTCCCCCCTCTCTCTCGCTCTCTCTCTCTCTCTCTCTCTCTCTCTCTCTCTCTCTTTCTCTCTCCCTCTCTCTGTGTCTTAGCGGACACATCCTGACCACCACGATAGTTCCCATATGCTGAATATGGCGGATGTAATGAAGCAGAAGTTCGTCCGTCAAAGGCAAACATCTTATGATCTGAAGACAGTGCGGCCAATCCACTGCAGGATTGCATTGACACCCCAACAGTTCAACGATCGACAAACGGCATGCAAATTTTCGATTAGGAATTTCAAGGTTTCACGGTTTATGGTCCTCGTCTTTTGTTAAGTTCATTTGGTAGCGTTCGGCCGGGAATGACACAGCGTTCGTCAAGCTGCGGTTCCACAGCAGTCTCCGCACGTAAGCAGCAACAGCCAGGCAACCCTTTGTTAGGGTTTTATAGATTAGGGCTGCCGGGTTCGGGACTTGGAGGATGGGGATACAAGAAGTCAAAACCCAGAATAATATCATGGGATCTTCTTCACTTCGTGTAGCTGGTGCTGGGCTTCAGGTGCTTTCCTGCGGACAGGTCGGACTATGTCAATAGCACAGACGTCAAAGCACACCCATCCAAGTAACTGCACTTCTGGTAGTTAGACATCCGACATCGCAAGCACTCAGCTCGAGCCCCTAATATCCCACTCTGCACTGAGCGAAGTCGGCCTGGTGATGTGCATAAACTGCACTTGCGAGATTCACAAGCTCTTGAAACGGGGAAACACGGAGCGTAGTCCTTCTTCACTTCTTCCACCTGTCAGAGGCTGCATGTGGAGAAATCAGGATTCGAGCGTGCAGGATGCGGATGCTGAGGGCTCCATTTTTGAAGCACCCTAAACTATACTGAACGTAGAACCCTAGAAAAAATCTACAATTTCAGCTGTTTCTTATGGGTTATCATAACCAAAGATTTAAAATTATTTCTAAGTGCCCCTAAGTAAACCCCAAACCCGCATGCCCAAGGGCCCTAAACCCTTAAACCCCTAAACCCTTAAACCCTAAGCCCTAGACCCAAAACCTTAAAAGGTAACCCTAAACCCCTAAACCTAACCAAGGCCCCTAGCATAAGCCACGCCCTGTGGGTTTCAATCGGCCCCTAAGTCCAAAACCCAGGGGTTTTTGATACACTTCTCCCCCGGTTTAGGGCTTCGGGTTCAGGGCTTATAAGGTTTAGGGTTTAGGGTTTAATGTGAATCTTGAAAACTTTGGGGTGAGGGTTTGGGCTTGAGGTTTTGGGACTTAGGCGCAGGGGCATTTAAGATTTGGAAGCACTGAGATGCCGTTTCAAGGTTCAGGGCTTTCGTACGGCCGAGCGTTAATTTGATTGGCAATCGAAGCTCACACGCCTCTCCCACTAAACAACGTCATGATCAGCAGAATCAGGAGCAATTTCAAGCAACCTTACCTGACTCATAGTGGTAACGCGCAGTCCCAAAAATCCACCTGCCCCGAAAAACCTAAACCCTAAACCCTACATTCCTCATCATGGCCCCAACCCTAAAAGTTACCTTTATGAAACCCCACTTTGGGGACCTTCATGAGCAGAACAAGGATTTGCGGCATGTTAGCATAGACTTATGTTCAGGAACCTGGGGGGGCTCCTCAAACCCTCGTTTCAAAGGACCTGGCGATCCCCACCCTGTAACGGGAGATATAGTGGGTATATAACGGGCTTAGGGTTTAGGGTTTAGGGTTCAGGGTTTAGGGTAACAGCTATATTTGGGTTAGATACCTAGGGGTCATTATTGAGGGTGCCTCCTTTTATCCCTGGATCGTTGCGCAGACCTGCAGAAGCCTAAGCCCCACCACCCTGAAAGCCTACTTGTCGGGTATCATGGGGAACTAAAGGTTAACCTTTTTGGTTATATAGGGATTATACTACCCAAACAAGGTTAAAGGTTACCTACTCTACTGCTAGGAAAGAACCCAACAGCAACACTTAGGAAGGAACCCTTTCCTGGGCTGTGATGTAGCCAAGGAGAGAAGGTATAAACGTCAATGTCACAATGGTTCCTTTAAGGAAGAGGTACCAAAGAAAAGCATCCAGAACCCAGCTATGTGAATTAACCCTTGAAGAGCCCTATAGTAACCCTTACGGAGCTCAAATAAGAACTTGTAAAGAGCCCCATGGTAACCCTTATGGGAACTCTTATACTGACCATCATGGAGCCCTAGCCCTCAATACCGCCGCCTCCTTCTTCCCTGCCGCACAGGCCAAGATGCCCTGCCCTTGCTTCAGGCACTGTGGGCCGCAGCCAGGGAGCCGCTTCTGGCGTCAGGGCGTTCGGAATGGGGGTGTTTGAGGCTTTATAAGGGTTTTAGGGCTTGGGTTTAAAGGAACCCTAGGGGTTCCTTTAAGGGATCTATAGGGGTAGGGTTTAGGGCTTAGGGTTCAAAGGTTTAGGGCGTGCCATGGTTTCGCTGGTTTCTGCAAAGCCCCTCCTTGAAGTATGGAGGGATCCTTAATGCGGTTGAAGGTAAACTGGTCATCAAGGATTGAATCTCTCAATCCCTAGGATCCTAGAAGGATTCGCATTCGGGGTTGATGACGTCCTCACTCGGAGACTTCTAGGTTCAGCATTCAAACTTTGGGGTTAGGAGCCTTATGGTTTTCTTTCCTCCCTAGGAGCCTTATAGTTTAGGGCTTCGACGCTCACTCTCGCACAAGGCAGGCAAGGTTTAGGGTTCAGGGCTCAGGAAGCTAGGGTTTAGTGTTTAAGATCTACTTGTCAATGCGCAGCAAGGAACCAATGAGACAAGGATCCTCTGCACGGTTTGAGGGATTGTTGAACCAAACGCCAAACCCCTTAACCCGTTTGGGTTTCGGGCAGGGGTTTCAGGTTTCACGCGAGAAACTGAGGGAATGAGTAGCACGGCCACTGGGAGATGTGACCGCAAAGAATATTCTTTAAGGCTTAGCCTTGCCATCAGGATTAACCCTAAAGCCCGAACCCCTAAACCCTAAGCCCCTAAACCACAAACCCTAAATAAATTGAAAACTGAAGGCAGGAACAGCGAAAGACACACTCTCCCAGGAAGAGCCAAGGGTAAACGGAGGGACCCTGAATAAGGACCCTTAGGCTATACCCTTAACATGGGTGGTTGTCAAAATTAGGGTCCCTTTTTGGGTCAGTATAATAATACTACGGCACCTAATATTTAGGGTGCCCAAAAAATGGGCCACAATTTTGACCACCACCCATATAGCTAGTATATACCCATTATATAACCAATTATAGGGTGGGGGTCCCCATTAAGGGTCCCTCCTCTTCCCCTTTGAGAAGAGCCAAGCTGCCCCATCTTTGTCATAGGCATCGTTCAGCTCGTAATCCGTGGCGCGCGGATAGTACTTGATCGGCTGGGGCTCCTCGTCCTCACATGAGGCTTGGGGTTTAGGGTTTGGGGGCTTAGGGGCGCAGGGTTTATAGGATTTAGGGGTTTAGGGTTAATGAGTTTAGGGTTTGGGGGTTTAGGATTTAGGAGTTTAGAGAAGCTCTGTAAAGCTTAGGCGCCTATGGGTGAAGGAGTTGTGTGCTGCTTTTGCCTTAACTCCGCCGCAGCGATGCCCTGGGCCCTGGACAAGCAAAACATGTTCCACCTATAGTCTCCGTTGTCCGTTGTACTTCCTTTTGTTGGCTAACCGAAAATTATATTATAGAATCCTAACCATAAAACTGGTTAACCAAAACAAGGAACTACGATGGGGACTATAGGTAGAAATGCTTGCATCCAAGCCTTTGTGCAGATTTAAAAGTTAAACCTAGACCCCTCAACCCTCACCCCTACAAACCCTAACGCTTTGCACCTAATTCAAGCCTTGAATCCCAACGTGTCACGGCGAGATCTGCAGGCGCCGTGGGCCCTGCCCACCAAGGCCTGCACCGGACATCATCACCCATAGGCTTCAGGAGTTTAGTTCCTACCTAGCAAGGACTGACATGCACATCTGTCATGGTTTTTTCCGTGGGATCGGGGGCTGAGTAAGCAGGGTATACAGCGAACCCCAAAAGGTTGGAACATGGGTTTAGGAGGATTGGTGCTAGGATCTCCTATACTTTAAGGGCATGGGGACATCGATGTTCCTAACTTTCTGGATTCTACTATAAATTATAAGTAGAGTAGAGATATAAGCACCCCACCCTAACCTACTTACAACCTTCTTGTCGTGTCTCGCGATGCTCCACATACGAATTCCAGAAGTTCCTGGAGATTGCCAGGGTGTGGGGACTGCAATTCAAATGGGAAAAGGAGGGACCCTTAACGGGGACCCCAACCCTATAATGGGCCGTATAATGGGTATATATTAGCTATATTAAGGGTTGTGAAGGCGTTCCTCTGCCCACTTTTACAGTCGGCCTTACGGCACAGGCTTACGGAATCGAGAAGTGTACCAAGTTCGTTCGTGAGGCCATTTTTGTGCGATCAAAGAAGTCTTGCAGCTTCACAGGTTATGAGCCCAAGGTGCTGAGCGCCTTGGGTTCCGTAGCATCGTGCATCGCGAGGGTTCATGGATTCAGGCCTGCGTCGGCGGCGGAGCAGAGCAGCTTCGGAGGGCCAAATTGATAGTGCGGCTGGTGGGCACTTAGTTCTGGCGTCGAGTGTGTCAGAAGAGACGACCACTGGTCAGGCAGGTGTCGGGGCGACAGTGTCCCCGTTTTGGTCTGAACGAATGCAGTTAGAAGCTCAATTGCAGGCAGCAAGGCCGCCTGATCTGGATGAGGTTGTCGCTCGTCTGGAATCTGGACCCAGCAGCGCATCGACGGAGCTTCGGCGGAATGATGGTGAGATGCCAACTCCGAGTGGCCCTCCGGTGAGTCACGGTCCTTGTGTGGACCGCGGAGGGGCAGCCGAATCTACGCCACGCGCTGTGAGTGCGCAAGCTGCGGAACCAGCTCCGCCAATCGTGGAAAGTGACCCAGATCCGCGTGATCCGTCGCAAAGTGCGGGGATGAGACCGGGCGAGCGATTGATCATGGAGCGCATGAAGGAGTTGCTTGAACATGTATTCCATCAGAATTCTGAGCTTGTGGAACAGAATAAGGTAGTTCAGGGTCGGCTAGAAAGGTTGGAAGAAGAAGCGACCATGCGGTCAGCCTCGTCGGGTGGACACAGGGATCAGTTGGATGCGGTTCGTGAATTCTTAGATGTTGCCTCAGGGTTTTCCGGAAATCGAGGGACTGTTGTCGGCAATACGGGCATCAAAGGACCAGCTGGCTTGTCAAGCGTACCAGCAGCAATTCAAGGGGATTGTAGTGCCTCTGGGTTTGGTAGGTATGTATCAGCTAGGGAAAGGGGTTCGCTAGACTACCACGAAGGTGTCGAGGAAGGAATGCGGAGAGCTTTAGCTCGGAGGGATCAAGAAGAATCGCGGACACTCGTGCCGCAAGTGCCGATGGTGCCCGCGGCGCTCGGGCATGGACGAGACCTTAGTCCCCCTCCTCCACCGCGACCTCGTGATGAATCTTACAGGCCCACGACCCCTAACGGTACTGCAGTTCCTTTGGGAAGCCCCCCTGAATCTCCTACGTCACAGTTTGGATCGCCTCAGCAGTCGTTGTTACGAATGAGCTTTGAAGGCCACCCAGCTAGATATATGGAAGGCATGGTTAGGAATTCTGCTCCAGGTGTTACTGCCACAGTCGATGGAGTCAGTACGGAGACCATGTTGGGGTCAACGTCCATGTTTGGGTCTATGTCGATGGGAATGGCTGGTGCTCCTGATGCTCGACCGGGCTTAAGTCCATACAGACAGCCGCCAACCCCGACGGTGCCAATCTCCCCAGCTGGCGCTTCCATGCCGGCTGTGAGTAACGGCCATGTTGCCGCGTCACCTGGGCGGGACCCGTACTCTCCAGGGGATCGTACTTGGTGGAAGCTCCCGTCCCTTTGTGGTCCACTAGAAGAAGATGCCTGTATCGCGGCAGCTGATTGGATCACTCAAGTTTCTCCCATAATGGGTGATCTGTCACCGGCTAGTGCGGTGTGGTGGCGTCGCGTGCTTGCTACAGCTCAAGATGCGTACAATCGGTGGCAGGTGGCAGGGGCGCTTGAGAAGGCGAGCGTGACATGCGAAATTCCAGCAGAGTTGCAGGATTCTCGGTATGCTCGTCTAGAGTCTAGGGCTGTTGGTATGTTGTTGGAGGTTTTTCCGGAAGAAATAAAGCAACGTATGATAGCCGATGCTGATATGTCTGCTGCGAATGCCATGTTTCGGTTGTACTTGGCCTATCAACCGGGAGGCCTTAGCGAGCGGCAGCGCTTACTACAAGGATTAACGGATCCTGGAACCGCAAAGTCAGGTCGAGATATGGCGAATCGCCTTCAAAAGTGGCAACGGTGGCTTAGCAGGGCACAGACCCTGCTCATAGCGGTCCCGGATGCAGCGCTTTTATTGGCAGGATTGGATCGGCTGGCAGCGCCTCTTTTAGCCACCCACCCTCAGGTAGCGTTCCGATGCAACAGCGCCAGGAACATCCACCAACTTGACTTCAGCCCTAGCACGGTGACTGTGATGGGTTATGCCAGGCTTCTTCAGGCAGAGGCGGAAACTCTAGCATTGTCGGGATCTGATGTGGACTTGTCAGCTGGTGGTCCCAAACCTCCGAAGACTCCTAAAAATCCTAAGGATGCCTCTCTAGCCAAGGTTGAAGAAACGGGAAAAGGGAGTAAAGGGGAGAAAGGGGGGAAGGGAGACTCGAGCAAGGGTTTGATCAAAGGTGTGCCTTCCGAGGGTAAGGGAAAGAGCAAAGGGAAGGATTCCAAGCCCGAGGGGACTGTACCTTCAGCTTCTGCCAAGGGTGTATGCAAATTTTATCTTTCTGCCACAGGGTGTAAGTTGGGAAAGAACTGCAGAATGACCCACGACACGCAACGGGCACAAGCGGAGGGACGTTGCTTCGCATGCGGGTCGGGGAAGCATAAGATAGCGGATTGCACTAGGCCTAAGGGTGACACGTCGGCTCAGGCTGAGGCCGCCCCGCCGGTAGCCAAAGCTGTTGGTCAGAGCGACCTCAGGGGGGAGTCCTCTAACGCCTCATCAAATGTGTCGGCCAGTGCTCCCGCAAATCAACAGTTTGCTCCACCGACGGTACAAGACTCCACTAGCAACGCTTCTGGTCACGGGTCTCAAAGGGATGGTAACTCTGGTGCGGGGAATGCCTCGGTAAGATCGGTTGATGCTCAGGTTTCCCAGGAGAGGCTTGTGGAAGAGGCTATTGGGTTTCTTCGAGGGTTCAGATTGGCGGCTGTGCAGGGCCCATCGAGTGGGGAGGATTCTGACAGTCAGGACCCCTCACCGCGCTCAGAAATCTCGCAAGACCGCAATAAGGACCCTAAAGTGACGAAGATTAAATCCCAAAACCCTAAGCATAGGACTTGTCTCCTGGACGGAGGGGCAACCCACTGCCTACGGACGGGCGCAGCATCGGAGCTGCAGCTTGCCACACCGACCAGGGTTGGGCTAGCTCAGGGTCAAGCGCACATGCATGTGAACGCTCAGGGAACGTTGCTCACGGATCAGGTAGTACAACCGATCTGCTCGTTGGGGTTGTTGGTGAAGGAGTGCGGGTACAAGGTGTCATGGGATGATCAAAGGTTTGAGCTCCGAGGACCGAACGGCGAGAGAATTGAGACGAAACTTCGGGGTGATTGTCCTGTAGTTTCGGAGGGTCTTGGATTGGCTATGATTAAGGAAATCGAAGATAAGAGACACTCCAGAGCCGTGCGACAGCTCTATCTTCGGGCAGTCAGACAGAAGGCTGCGGGAGTCGAAGGGTCGTCGGAATTAAGGGTTGCAGGTGTCACGTTGATTGAGATACTGGAGTGGCTGAATCGAGAGGCTGGGGAGCTGGGAGAGAGTGTGTTATCGCAGGTCCCTCCAGACAGTTTTCAGGTAGAGCATCATTCGTTGGTGCTTAATCGCCGCAAACGTCGGGCCTTGGATCGGGCAACCGGGATAGTTATCCATGTGTTCGCGGGTCACCTAACATCTCGGGATCTTAAGGGCCTTCCAGCTGGAGTTGAAGTGCTGTCGGTAGGGAGTGAGCTTGGGCGCGATCTCAGGGATGATAATCTCTTTGCTTATTTGCTGGGCCTTGTCCGTGATGGCAGAGTGGTAGGGATCATCGGAGGGGTTCCGCAGAGAGGTGCCGGCTTGATAGTCCAGGTTCTGCGAATGCTCATGTTGCAGTGGCTATGTGAGCAATTGCATCCAGGTAGGTCCCTGCTAGCTATTCAGGGCTTAAAGAGTGTGACCAACTTGCGAGCGCAACTTCCGGAGGAGGAGCATCCTCCGCTGTGTCTGTGGGAGGTGCCAGTCATACGCAGGATGCTCAAGTCGGGTGCCTATCAAGTAGCCACGTTCGATGGGACTAACCGTCTCTTGACCAACCAGGAGAAGTTATGGCAATGGCTTAATGGGCAGCATACAGTTCTGAGGCCAAACAAGGAAGGAGATTTAGGCGTCAGGCTTGAGCGATCTAGAGGGGTCGGGAGTTGGAGTCAGGGGCTGTGCACGTGCATAGGACAGGCTCTCAAACACCACTGCGAGCAGCTCTCCTTGATAGCTGTGAAATCGCAGGCCAAGTCCCAGGTACCAGACTCCACGCCACAGGTCCAGGCTCTATCCCAGCGCGAGCTAGCCTTTAAAACCCATTGCGAGTCCGATCATATCACCTTTCGTCCTGATTGTCAGGTTTGTCTCAGCGGGGCAATTAAGACCCACATGCACTTCCGCAACAAACATAAGGCACGCAACGCACTTACGCTTTCAGTAGACCTTGCGGGCCCACTTGTGAGAGCGAGGGATCAGGAGAGTAGCCCTTTGCGACCGAGTGATCAGATGCGGTATCTGTTGGTGGCGACGTTGTCGGTGCCAT